AGGCACGTTGATTCGCAAGTGTCGCCCGTTGCCGCTTTGCTTTGCATCGCCCGCCCATGGCCACTTTGCTTCGCTCTTCGTAAGCCGTTGTCAAGTCAGCGCATTCTTTTCGATTCGCACCGTGGAATCGTCGTTTCCGGAGTCGCAGGAGTTTTGTCGTTCGATCTTTCCATCAGGGGAGTGATTCATTTTTGTTTGTTTTATTTGTGGACGAAGCATTCTTTTTCTCAGTTTATCTTTCTGCTTCTCCACATTACCGTTCTTTGTTTCTGGGGGTGTCTTATTCTGGGGGTGCTTCAGAGGGTGTCGAGCCTCAGGGGGTGTGTTGGAATATGCGGCGGTATTGGGTATGAGACTCGCCACCGTTGCCACTTGATCCTAACACATACAAACAACGTCCGTAGAGTTGCGTTCGTCTTTGTACTTACATCCTCTATCCTCTACTATGATGTTCACTCGTTCTCTGTGATATCTGGGTCCTCAGGCTTTCCGTGCATCAGTGTCTCTGGGTTATTCCTACAGTGGAGTGAACAACTCTGCCTTTTTACTGTCGGCGCATGGACACTATTCCTCGCTACGGAAGGACGGCACCACAGTATCAAACACTTATGGGCATACATGCTCCTCGGTCAAGTCGTCGCTATCTCTGTAGCGTCGAATCTATTCTACCTCGCGCTCGTTCGCTCTAGCCCTGCACAGCGCGCATCCAAGCCCCGAACTGCGTCTCTGGCGCAATGGCTGAGCGTCATCGTATCCCTCGTCACCATTGGGCTTTCCCCGTACACCTCCGCGCAGACGTTTTTGCCCAACCTGCTCGTGATGCATGCCCTCCTGCTCGTCCCCCTCCTTCCTTTCGCAAATTCTGCGTCCGACAAAAAGTTTGGGTCCATCCGGCTGCGGTCCCTGTACACTATAATCGTGCTCCTCTCCGCCGTATTGCGTACTCGGACAGTCATAGCGTCTGCCGCGTCGTTCTCGCCCCTCACAGATCCTGGAGAATGGATTCGCGCGCTCCGGGAGACGCTACACGCCCACCCGGCGCAGTCGTCTATCGGTTGGGACGTTGTTTGGACGTCGATCTCGTTTTTTGCGTGGAGTTTGTCCGAGAAGAATTTCTGGCTAAAGAGTCGCGCGCTACCACTATTTGGATTGACGCTGCTCGCATCGGTAGGAGTCGGTGCGCCCTGGGCACAGGCGCAGGCTACGGTGGACAGGGATGCTCGCGAAATATCCAAAAATGAATGATAGCTGAATACCGCGTGTCGTTTGTTAGGAAACCATTCAGGTCTCCGTCACTGTGTATATCGACCTTGCATGGAACACACTAACCATTGAGTGCATATGTTGCACGCGTTCAGTCCGCTAAGGATTAATATTGATTTCTCCTCACTCGTGTATAGAGGCTGGACAATATTCGTCCTCAGCTCTGGCTGTGAGAGCTTGTTCAGTGCACCCAAGTGTGTTCTGTAGTTGTTCTGTGTATGCGTGCGTGGCAAGGAAAAGGTACCTTGCTGATATCTGGTACAATCATCTGAATTACAGAGTCGACGTTCATTTCGCCTTTGCGCCTCTATGTGGCCACCCTACTCCCGACGTCCACTCGTGTCGCACAACGGGTTTACCCTGGCTATCCACTTCCACTATAAACTTGTACCACCCAACAGGCTTGATGATATAGGAGCTGTTTACGTTGTAGCTGAGCCAGACGGTCACAAGTGCTGGCATTCTGTGGGCCAGTGATTCGACGAAAGGAAAGAATTGGCCGATGGTACTATGGTCGCCATCTTCGGCGAAAACTGGGTAGGTTGCGTCCAGACACACCACGGAGATATGGAGCTCAATCAAGCTACCAAGGAGCGATAACGCATCACTCATTGAGCTCTGAATTCGAAGGTAACAGGGGTCAGAAGGATATAAGTTCGTTTGAAACTTCTTGGAAATCACATACGAAGGAATGAAATGGCCCGGGTGCCTTGTGAGGCTCATCGTAGAGTTTGTAGTCTAGCTCCAGCACTCTGAGCTGAGGGCATGACTCTGCAATTGCACGAACGAGGCCTGGTGTGGGGAGGAAATCCAGCGCAAGAAACAGCTCCGTAAGAGCAACCATACAAGATGTCCGATGCACTATACGAAAAGCATTGGGCTCTGAGAGTGGAAATCGTCGCGGCCACCGCGGCGTTTCGACATTATCAGGCGTCCCGGCGGGAGGAAAGTCGTGGCATGCGAGTATCCGCAAGGACACGAGACGATCGGGCAGCTGCTCGAGGATGGTATCGTAGGAAAGGTACACGTTGGATAGCGCGAGGGACTCGATACATGGGAGGGTAGTCGCAAATGATGGTGATTGCTCTGTCGCTGTTGGTGGTGCGCTATAGATAAAAGCAGGTGGCTGTGCCCACGGGCCTTCACAATAGACTGAGAAATTCATGTGCATGGCCCTCAGGCCTGGCATCCTGGCAGCAACTGTAGACAACTCTGTATATCTCCGTGCCGGAGCATGCCCAGTCATTATCAGTGACCGAAGATGTGGCCAAGAGTTCTGTGCAAGTGTAGACAGATCGCAGAGGTCGCCGCTTATCTCGAGGTCGGTGAGCTGTGGCGCGAGGATACCAAGGTAAGCCTTGACATTTGTTGACTCTCCACGGAAGGTCCAGGGAGGTACATTAGGAGGTCGGCGGCCAGCCGAAAGAGCAAGTCGTCGTAGGCGAGTAAATGTGGAGAAAGCTGAAAGTTGGGGGCCGCCTAATCGAGCATCTTCAACGATCACTTCAATGAGATTGGGTGCAGAGCTCGCAGCATGCAGCATCGCATCAGTGGGGGTCCCAGATGCAAGTTTGAGTGAGATCCGTTGGAGCACAGGGAAAAAAGGTAAAGCTTCGATGTACTCGTCAATGTCAATGGGGCGAGTGTCGTATCGTGAGACCCTGTCCCGTAGATGAAGAGTCCTACGGTGACGATGTATCCGCGTTAAGTGGGCTGTATTCGTGTAAACGTGATAAGTTATGCTCACACAACATATTTCCACAGAGTTCGAGGGACCATGCCACGGCGGCATGAGTGGA